GGCATCACAGAAGCTTCCACAGCAACTCGCCCACCTCTGCCAATGGGCTTGGCTCTGGGACAGGCTGGCTGGCTTTTCCTCCTTGTGTTGAATCTTCTGCAAAGAGAAAAAAGCATGATGTCGCTTGAACCTGGCAGGGCTCGCTTCCACCTCCTGATGGACTACGGTCTGCAGCTGCCCCACCGCTGACGACTGCCTGCCCTGTATGTCTTGTCTCCGCAACATCCATCAAACCTTCCTTGTCCCGAGCAAACCTTCCAGGTTAGGATATTGCAAACTTCATGTCTTGAACTGGTAGCGTGTCCCTTGGTTACTTTGCCTTGTTTTTACTTTACAGCCATTTGACAGTCTCAGGAAACAGGAAATAATATGAAATTTTAGAATATAATTTTGTCCTTTCTCACTGCTTAGAATTACGTGCCCATAATCCACTTGAGCATTTTGCTGTGGGTGACCTGTACATGCTGCAGCTGATCTCTGCTGTCTCTGGCACACTGAATTAGAAATAATTGCAGATACATTAGAGAAGTCACAGAAAACCTGCCAGGTACATTTGTACTGAGCTTTGTAAAGGCAGCTGGGCCGAGCTGACTCCCACTCTTGATTTGGGAATCTCTTCCTCTCCAGGCAAGGGACACACATCCAACCAAGAGTGCTCTCTAGGAAAGGAGCAAAAGGGGGGCCCTTGGAACAGAGTTCCCTCTCAGAAATGGTGCTGGATATCTAGGGCAGAAGTGCTTAATTGGCAATAAAATGTGATAACTCATACACATCCCCTTCTCCAGAGCCCCTGGAATAAGTGAGCTGGTACAATGTAAACGCCTCCAAGACAGAATTAGACTTCTGCTTGGACAAATAGCCCCGTGAGGTGAGGGAGGCTGCAAGCAACCAAGAGGTGGCTGATGGGTTCAGCCCCTCTGAGGATGAGGAGCAGCCGTGGTCCAGCTCCACCTGCCTGCAGAGAGGCTCCGGGTGGCAAAGGGCCACACTCCCCTTAAATGACAAAGGGTTGTGCGGAATTGAATTGCTGTTGCAAAAAGAAAGCAGCAAGCATCCTCCAATGTCCCTTAGCACAAAATAGTGGAAAGATTTCCACCACTCCAGGCTGCAGACGCGGTATTTTGGGTGTTTCAGGAAAAACACATGGGGTGCTGTGTGTGGCTCCTTTTAGTTACATTAGCAGAATCTGGCCCATGATCATCCAGCATTCGAGCACGAGGTGGTGTGGTCCCTCACCAGGCATCAGTTCGCTCCGGGTGTGTTTAAAGGTTGCTTATATGTCAGTCTTCACTACGGAAAGGCTGGTCCAGTCCAGCCTATCCAAAGAAATCATTTCCAGCTCTGAATGAGCCGTCAGTGTCCTGGGTAATCCTGCACAGGTCTGATGATCTGTCCCTTTCTTCTCTCTGCAAAATGGGAATTGTATTTCACTGCCTCCCAGGAAGGCTGTGAGAATAAAAGCTCAAATACTATTTCAGAGGGATCTGATTAAGTACCTTGGCAGATGGACAGTCTGTGCCCAGCACAGTTCTTTCCTATTTTTCCCCACAAAGAGGAATTGTTTTATTCTGTGAAAAAAAAAAAGGACTTTGAAATGGCACCATGTGTTACCTCACGGCAACCCAATCCCGCTGAAAAGGAAGCGCAGCGCTTCAAGGAGGACCTGAAAGTATTTAGCGAGTTGACTTTGGTGTGACTAAACAAACTGCTCCGTCCAGTCCCTTTTCGGCTGAGCATCTTCTCATCACAGCATTCTTTCACCTCTCTCCACTGATGCTGCCCCTCCACAGAAGCGAGCAGGTACAAACCGCGGTTGGGAAGCCCGGCTGCGCTCGGGCAGCACGGCTGGGCGGGGGCTGCTGCCTGCCCCCAGCAAACTGCCCCAGACGCCCAGGAAACCTCCCCAAGTTCCAGCAAACTGCCCCAGATTCCAGCCATCACCCCGCCCCTGCTGAAGGCCACAGGTGCCGGCAGAGCTGGCAGCCTGCACTCGGACCGAAGGGAAAATGATGGTCTCTGCTCTGTGGGCTGAAATTGGCCCTTGGGCGCAGTTAGGAGCATTCAGAGCTTTATGTGTTGTAATTCTCAGCGAGGTGGAGGCAAAACCTGGTGGCAGAGCAGGTGCAAATGAAAGCGAAAGGAGAACTTCATCACTTCTGGGAGCTCAGCTGGGTGCGAGCGAGGATGTAGCGCCCGGCTCTGCCCAGCCTCTTGCTCACCGAAGCAGAATCCCATTTCAATTCAAGATAATTGCCTGGAATAGGTTTGCCTTTCCTTCAGACCTTGTTCCATATAATGTGTTCTCTTAATAGTGGACCCTTCCTCATCTAAAACCATCGACAAGCCTGTCAGTAGAAGGAACTGGCAATTTCACAGGCATTTAAAGGTAGCGCAAAGAAATTCATCTGTCTCCACATCAGCCCTATTAGCTGGGGAGAAAGTTCTGTAGCAGATTTGCGGTGACTCTGCTCGAGCTCTTGCTGAGGGTGTTGTGCTGGGAGTCCCTGCCTTGGAGCGTCTGTTCCTCGGGCAGTTTGCTGGGTCTCCCAGAGGGAGCAAACGGGCATAAGGATTTCAGGAAGGGAGTTTGTGCACTCATGTGCTGATCTGGGATTTGGCTTCTCCTGTTTAAGAGTCCCATGGTAGGAAGGCAGGGAGCGATGCGGGGCTTTACCTCCCACTAGCTCCCTCAGAAGTGGAGGCCCAAACAGCTCATGTGTTTTTAATTTTCCTCGATTTTGCAGACATTCAAGCTTTGAGCCGTAGCCAATACCGATGGACTGTCCCTGCATGTGAACCTCGTGTCCTGCCCGGGTCACACCGAAGGCACCAGTGTGACCCCGAGCCCATGAGCGTGAGAAGGGAAATGGGAGGACAGAACTGTAGCCATTTATTTCAGCATATTTAGGAACTATTGGTAAAAACAATGACTAAAACACACCTTTCACTCCAAGATCGGGGGCTGAAAGAACCCGAAACAAAGAAGAAATACTGTAAGGACCTGCCTACCAAAAGCCACTATTTACTGCAGACTGCTGGGGTGGGAGAACAAAGTCCTTCATGCTGAGACACTTCTTTGATTCTTAGCGGGTCCTTGATGGTGCTGGAGGCAACTGGCAGTGGGTGATGGTACGTGACCACAGGCAAGAGCAGCCCTGAAGCTCCAGGCTCTCCAGCCCCGCCGCAGGTAGTACCTTTCCCTCCCCAGAGCACCTCTCCGCCGGGTTTCCCGATGCTGCTGCCCCTCTCCGGAGCCGCGCTGCTCTGTCTGGAGAGGACGCGGCTCTGGGGGTCAGGGCCCATCTTCACCTCCCCCAGCTCCAGCCTGCCTGTCCGTAGCCCTGAAAGCCAGAGGCATTGCCAGCAGCTCCCCTGGCTGCTGCTGAATGATCGGAGAGCTTTAGTGCGTGTCCACATCACTAAATGTGGCATTCATTGGAGGCTGAGACGGATGGGCAGGTGTCAGGTAGGACGTGTAATCCTTTACAGGTCACAGCTGCAGGGATCTGCCTGGGCCTGATCGAATCACGCTGACAAAGAGGGATGGGGTGCTGCTGGGCAGGAGGGGCTCCGTCCAGGGCTGCTCTGAATCACTGGGACGTTCACAATGCGAAGATCAGACTGCGGGCTTGCTCGACTCCTGCTGACGCCTCTGAAGGCACGAAGTGGTTTTGTCCCAGACCACTTATGGCAAAAGACATCCTGTGTTGCCAAACGTGTGCTGGGATGCTGAGTCTGTCACAAAGGAGAAGCTGTTGACTTTTGCCTCTGATCCCGTATGCAAACCCGCCCGCTCCCTGCTCAGCCCTTCTGCCCACCCCACAGCCGCTGGAGACCCCTGCCCCGGGGCCCGCTGCGGGAGGGCAGCACAGACAGGCTCTTCCCACCCGAGTTTCTGAGCTGCACGAGGTTGTGTCTGCAAAGGAAGGGGAGAAGGGACTTCCACCTCGCTGCTGTGCTGCTGCTCTCCCCTGCCCTGGCTCAGAGGGCCGAGCTGTGGCAGGATTCTCCCTGGACACCCAGCAGCACCCTGAAACTTCTGTTCTCATTTTCAGGTTGCATTTCACTTTTTACCCTCTGCGCCATGGGAGAGCGAGGGGGCACATGCCAGGCATGAAGCTGGGAGCATTCTGAAGGCAGGAATCCTTGGATGTTCTCTGACTGCTGAAACTCTGAAACAGAGAGAGGAAGAAAGATGCTGCAATTAGTAAAGATGCTTCATCCCGTGTGGCTGCTGTGCTGGGTACCCAGGAAGGGAGAGGGAGGAGATGGGGAAGATGAGGGCACATCCACTCTCTGTGTTCGTTGCTGCACTGGATCTGCACATTTCAGACTCCCAACGTCTACGCGGGGGGTTGCAGCACACCTCGGGATGGAGGAGGAAGAGATACGCTATTGGCTACTTCGTGTGCAGTGTGTCATCGGGCAGGCTCTATATATCAGAGTGAAAGCAGGGACCACTCAGCCTCTGAGCAAAGCTGCTTCCCCGTACAGCCTAGAGACACTTTGAGGACGGAAAGAAAAGGGAAAGGCAGCCCTTGCTTTTTTGATTCTGACAAGCTCTGAAAACTCTTGGGAAACAGAGACCTGACGGATGAAGGACTCTGTGGAAAATCATTAAAGCAGATTTTTAAAGAGAAGTTGGGGGCGAGAAGCAGAACAGTGCCCAAAAGGAAACATTCACTAGGATTTGTTCCTAGGTGCAGAAAGAAAGTGTTTGGGGATCTCTGATATTTCAGCATCCAGATCAGCTTCTGTATGCACGACCTTGGGGACTGGAAAAGGACAGCAGCAGGAGAGTCCTGGAGCAAAGCTCACACGTACCAGCGCAGGAAGAGGGACCCATTTATCAACTCTTTTATGTAGTTTGCAGCCACGGGACAGATTTTTAAAATGCAAGTGTGTGTGTTCCCTCCTGCAGCCGCCGAGTCCAGCCCCTGAGCTGCAGGGAGGGGGGCAGCGGCCGCCCGGGGTAGCGCTGGGGCTTTGCTCTCCGAGCCATGAGCAGGCGCGCGTGGTTCCCTTTGCAATACATCCCCAAGCCCTTCTGGAGAGCGGAGAACCACAACGCCACCAACTTCTTCTCTGCGCTGTACGGCTTCCCTAACCAGTCCTTCTTCCACAGCGATCTGGACCTGGAGGACCTGGGGGACTTTGACAGCAGGACCAGGTACGAGGGCGAGTCCCAGAGCCGGACGGTGCAGGCGCTGCTGATCGTGGCCTACTCCGTGATCATCTGCATCTCGCTCTTTGGCAACGTCCTGGTGTGCCACGTGGTGATCAAGAACAAGAGGATGCACTCTGCCACTAGCCTCTTCATCGTCAACCTGGCCGTGGCCGACGTGATGATCACCACCCTGAACACCCCCTTCACGCTGGTGAGCGTCCGCCTGTCCGTGTTGCTGGTGTCTGCGTGTGCCTGTCACCTGTGTGCCCGGGTATTCAGTGGGACAGGAACAGGCTCGTACACAGAGTTCCTTTTTGTCCCCCACGGCTCCTTTGCCTCCTGGACAAGCTGCAGTCGCGGCCCCTCTCCCGACCCCCCCACGCAGGCAGGGCTCGGCGAGCAGGGCTGGGGTGCTCCTGCCCCCCGTCGCAGTCCGGCCCGGAGCCATCGCTCCTCTGCAGCTTCCCTCCCTCCTCCAGGACGGTGGTGAGGCACCGACAGTGAGGGCCTATTGCCTTTTGGTGGGGAAGGAGCGGGGACAAGTTTGACACTAGACAGTCCAGTTAAGTGCCAATTTCCTACAGAAATGATTCAAACGGGGTCAGTCCTTGTGACGATGGTTGCGGGGGAACTGCGAGGTCTGTGCTGAGCCGCGTCAGCCCAGCAAGCCTCTTCCTCGGGCGCTACAAGCGGTGCTTCTCGGGGCTGACTGACCTTTGCTTGTTTTCAGTTACTAAATAATATATGACACTCAAAAATATTAAAACATTGAGGCAGGAAGAATTAAATGGATTAATTTTTTGCCCTACTGTCCCAACCTATAAGCACTGTGTCAGTGGGACTCTATAGCTGAATTTGACACAGCACTTGGGGTCAAAAGCATCTCAGATACTCCTGCTTCATCCTCACCCAGAGCTGTCCATACTGTTTCTGCCTTCCAAAAGCAGTTCCCAAATTATCAGTTTAAATTCACCTTTTCTTAAATTGATCCCATGTCTTTGGTGGGATTTCTCTGCCTTGGTCTGATGTGGAGAAGGGACTGAGAGCTGCCCCACAGGGAAGGACTCGGGGTGTTGGTTGATGAGAAGCTCAACATGACCCGGCAACGTGCGCTGGCAGCCCAGGAGGCCCCGTGTGCGGGGCTGCACCCAGAGCAGGGTGGGCACAGGGCTAGGGGGGGATTCTCCCCTCTGCTCTTCTCTCATGAGCCCCCCCTGCAGGGCTGGTCCAGCTCTGGGGGCACCAACAGCAGAAGGACACAGACCTGCTCCAGCGGGGCCAGAGGAGGCCACGGAGATGCTGAGGGGGCTGGAGCCCCCCCTGTGAGGACAGGCTGGGAGAGTTGGGGGGTTCAGCTGGAGGAGAGAAGGCTCCAGGGAGACCTTAGAGCGGCCCCCAGGGCTGAAAGGGGCTGCGGGAAAGGCGGGAGGGACTCATCATCAGGGGGAGGGATAGGACGAGGGGTGATGGTTTTAAACTGACAGAGGAGAGATTTAGGTGAGATCTAAGGCAGAAATTGTGCCCTGTGAGGGGGTGAGGCCCTGGCACAGGCTGCCCAGAGAAGCTGTGGCTGCCCCCTCCCTGGAAGGGCTCAAGGCCAGGTTGGACGGGGCTTTGGGCAACCTGGGCTGGTGGAAGGTGGCCCTGCCCGGGGCAGGGGGTGGCACTGGAGGGGCTTTGAGGTCCCTTCCAACCCAAACCAGTCTGTGATTCTGCGATTTGCATCCCATAATCTGTTCAGGGAAGGATAGTGCCCTCGTGTGTGTTTGCACAACAGTCACACATTAGGCACAAGTAATTAAAGAATGGTAATCTCTCTTAGGAAGAGCTTTAAATCAACTTCAACAGAACAGCACATTGCCACGCATTCAGTGACAGGGTAATTGCTACTAGAGTTGTCTCTACGGGGAAATCAATCAGATGTTTGAAAACAGATTAACTAGTCTTGACTAATTTTCGGTGTGGACAGATGTTTTCTGGTAAATGTGCTTTACTTCAAATTAGCTTAATCTGCTTCCACAATATAATACATTAATTTGAAATAGAAGTTGCAGAGTCAGGAATAACGAGGGAGGAAAGCCACAATAAGTAATAAGCTTTAAGCTCCCGCTGCCTCCCCCCTGAGCAGCGGGATTTCACGCCCAGGTGGAGACGTCTGCGGTACGTGCAGAGGGATCGATGAGGAGGGTGACCCTGGTTGTGGAGTGTGAGTTGCTGTTTCAACCGGAGGGTGGGATTTTCCTCTCTGTGTAACTTAATCGTAATCGGTGCCTCTCAGACAACGTGGTAAGAGGAGAGTCAGGCTTGGAGCTCCGGGTGCGAGCAGGACCCTGCCCCCCGCACCCCGGCCCTGAGGGTGGCCGGTAGCTGCACCCCAGGAGGAGCAGGCACCAGCAGGTGGGGATGCTCCACCAACAGGCAGGCTCTGAAGCAGAGCTCTCCCCTTCGGTTTCAATGCCCTCAACGAGTTCTTCTGCAGATTTCTCTTGCTAAATTTTGAGCCCAACTTTCAGCATCCACAAATCCAAACTTGAAACTGTTTTTAAGGAGGCAAGCTGCTGTTCTTTCCCTGCAGAGGTTCCTTTAGGAGTTGAGCCAAGAGCTCTTTACCTTTTCCAGAAGGCCGTGTCACAGGTATGCTGTACACGTGCACACACAGCACGACTCAAGCGGATTTGTTTGTCCAGTGCAATAAACCTCACCTGTTTGAGAGCCTCTTGCACAGCCACTCCTTCCCCAGAAAAACGGAGTATAGCGCATCTACAAAGGAAACGACATGAGAGCGTTTCGTCCTCACCACGCTCCTGGGAAGCCTATTTGCTACTCTGCAGATAATAGACTTGTTAACGCCCTGTTGTCCGTTCTGCAGGTGCGGTTTGTAAGCAGTACCTGGGTTTTTGGGAAGCTGATGTGTCACGTGAGCCGGTTTGTTCAGTACTGCTCCGTTCACGTCTCTGTGCTGACTCTCGCTGCCATCGCTCTGGATCGGCATCAGGTAGGTTACATACACCACCCCTGTGTTGCTAGAAAATAAGGCACTAAACATACACTTTTTTTTCCCTTCAAACTCCTGAAAACCTTCATTGTCTTGGGAATCAAGGAACAGCAGGGAGAGCTCCAGCTTTCATGACTCTGGAAAAAAAACCCATGTGTTTTCACAGTGAGTGTGATCAAACTCTGGCAGAGCCTGCCCAGAGAGGCTGTGGAGTCTCTGACCTTGGAGATACTCAAAACCCAACCCGGCACAGTCCCAGGCAGCTCCAGCTGACCCTGCTTTGCTCAGGGCTCGGGACTGGATGCTCCCAGGGGTCCCGGTCCCCGTCAGCCGCTCGGTGGAGCAGAGCCCTGGAAGCGCAGTGGGAATATGTTCCAAGGTTCCAACACCGGCAAGCCAATGCGTATCTCAGCAGGTATTTATGATGAATCTGGCCGGTTTTAGGCTTGCCCCATTATTTTGGGATACCTAAGACTGGAAGCAGTGAGAACTATGTTAGCATGTTCAGTTCAAGGTGAGAAACTCTCCTCGGCCCCTGTCCCGATACTTTCTGGCACAACCAGGAACAGCTGAGAGGTCAAGCAGTGGGTGCAAACCCAGCGGTTCCCTTCAGGTACGTAGTGCAGTTGTAATTTTTGCTTAGGCTGATAAACGCCGCTCACCGGGAGGGCAGATCCTGCAGGTGTGCTCTCAGGCAGGCTGTGTTTTTCTTGCAGTGCCGGAGTCACTGAAACTGTTGTTTCGGAAAAGCAATTTCACATGATACGTGACATTGGCTCGATGAGGTTCACAACAATAATGGATTCCACTCTGCTCATCAGGGATGTGCTCCACCTAGTGTCAGAAAATCACAGTGGCTGCCAGAGTATATCCATTTCTGTCTTTTTTTTACCACAAAAACTTTGGTAGTCTGCCCGTTCTATGTGCGCCCTTGCACCTCCTGAAAGCGAAGCGGTTTGATAATGATTCACTTCAGCTGGTAGATTCTGGGTTGATTGCAAGGTATGGCTAGGTATCGTTTGTTATTAAGGGCAAAAGCAATACCTGCCTTCAAAAGCAGAGGAGTAGGTTCCTCAGAATGGAATCAGCTAGTATGGCCCAAGGAGATAAAAATAGAAGTAAGGAGATGTCACTGAGCAAAGAGAAATCAACACTTGCCTCTAAAAATACTGCTAGTCCTGAGAGGTACCAGAGCAGACAGATGCTCCAGGGGAGTTGTAGGAGCTTGATTAAGTAGATATTTATAATGAGACTAGAAAAGACATGCATAAAATACCAAAGACTTCATCAGCCAAGAGATCATTTGGATGACATGATAGGTCTATTTTTAATTACTGTTTCATCTCCTCATGTAATCATCCCTAGTGCATGTGGCTCCACAGATATCTAACCACTGTCTCTGAAGCCGGGCTGGTGGGTGACACGGGGCGTGTTTCTCTGCTCAGGGCACTGGGCCAGCAGTAACACTTCATCCCTGCACAGCTCCGTGCACCTCTCAGCCCTTGGACTCTCGGAAGTCCTGTAAAGGAGACTCTTCTTTCTGCTTTTTAACGCTGGAGGGATGCAGAGCTGCTGCACCTCTTGGAGCTGCAGCGTGAGTGAGGCTCACAGCGTGACCACCATGTGAGGTGGAGTCGCCCTCCTGAGCAGCAAAGGCCCACGGAGCACGGGATTCACTGGGGACACGAGCGAGACCAGCCCTCACGCTCCTTAGTGCGAGGATGCACTCAGCTCTGGTTCTCAACGTCTTGTCACTCTGTCTGGCAAGTCCGCCCAATGCCAAATGTGGTGAGCCCTGTGGCTGCCACCTGTATTGCAGACCTTGTCTGTAGCACTCAGGAGACTTTTCACACTCCCCGTAGGACAAACCTCTTGGCTTTTAACTTGTGCCACTCTTCATGCCCGTGCTGAGCAGTCCTTGCTCTCCTGGCAAGCGCGTGTGCTGGCTGCTGCTTGCCCAGTGATCAGCGTGAAACGCTTGCTCCTGGACACGGATAAAGCAAAGATGCATTCTCTTTTCCTAAAGCTGGCAGCTTGTTTTTGCCAGTTGAAGATGCTATAAATCCTCAGGACTGGTTGTTCTCTGCAGGTTATCATGCACCCTCTCAAGCCGCGCATGTCCATGGCGAAAGGAGGGATTTGCATCATTATCATCTGGGTTATGGCCAGCTGCTTCTCACTGCCTCATGCCATTTATCAGACACTGACAAGATTTTATATTGGTAAGATGTTTGCATGGTGCTTTTTTAAATTATGACATACGTGGCTTAATGGAAGCCTCGCAGATTCTAAGGCACACAACTCTCCATCTGCATTATTAAAAGCTTGGTGAAAGAGAGGGGTCTTCCTTCTCTCTGACTAGGTGGTGTGTTTCTCATAGAAGGACCATGAAAATCCATGGAATTGCTTTCAGGCTTGTTTGTTGGTTGATTTTGGCTCAGAGATTCACCTCTGTAATTCGAAGGCAGGCACAGAAGAGAGGTGCTCTTTAGAGGGCACAGATGTCAATATGGATTATTTTTTTCTTTTCCTGGGGATGAGTTTAAAATATCTTCTCTGGGGCTAAAGATAAAACTTAAAGCAAAATTTTCCACTGAAAGTGGCACTTGCCCACGTTACTGAATGAGTTCTCCTACGTGTACCTTTACCGAAACTTGTCAGAGCGCCCGAGATGTTTGTCCTCCAGGCGTTGTGTGCATCTGGCAGTGGAATTGACAGTTCTTTCTCTCTTTGATCTTCAGAAACAGAACGATACGAATGGTCTGCCTCCCCAGCTTCCCTCCTCCTGCTGATCTTTTCTGGAAGTATTTAGACTTGACTACTTTTGTTCTCTTGTATGTCCTGCCCTTGCTTGTCATCTCCATCACCTATACCATGGTGGCCAAGAAGCTCTGGCTGAGGAACGCCATCGGGGACCTCACCATGGAGCAATACTATGCTCATCAGCGGAAAAAGAAGATGACGCTGAAGATGCTGATGGCGGTGGTGGTTGTGTTTGCGGTATGCTGGTTCCCCCTGAACTGCTACGTGGTGCTGATCTCCTGCAGGGCCATCCACAGCAGCAACGCTCTGTACTTCGCTTTTCACTGGTTTGCCATGAGCAGCACTTGCTACAACCCTTCATTTACTGCTGGCTGAACGAGAGCTTCAGATCCGAGCTGAAGTCCCTGCTGTGCGTGTGCCGGCGCAGGAGCGCAGCCCAGAGTCACGCTCTGCAGTCCATCTCCCCTCCCTTCAGGCACGCCTGGGTGGAGAACTGCCGTTACAAAAGAGGCAGCGCCTGCCAGAAGGCAAGGGCATCCTCCCAGAGGAACTCTGCAAAGACAGACATATCCAGTGTTCAGCCAATTGTGGCGGAAAGCTAAACCCTTCCTCCGATGGCCAGGCAGCATCGTGCTGTAATTGCGGAATCACGGAAAAACTGAGCTGGAAAGGAGGGCTGGAGGCCATCTAGTCCGGCCTGCCGCCCAAAGCAAGCTAATGTCAGCGTTCCACTGGGTTCTCCAGGACCTCATCCAGTCAGGTTTTCAAAAATCTCCAGGGATGGGCTGCCCACGTGGGCTCCAGTGAATGTGTCAGGTGAACTCTTCATTGGAACAGTCAGCAAAAATTAAAGAGAATTCTTTAACAGCACATGAAATCTTTCATAGCCTGAGCAAGTGAGGGCAACCTGCACCGATCACACACACGCCAGCTGATGCGCAGTGTTAAAGTAGATGGCTGTTCGTGCGTATAGAAACACGGTGTTGATTCCTTCTTTTTATTTGTAAATTGTTCAAGATGAATAACACCTATAGCTGTTCTCAAATTTATACTGCAATGCCTCAGCCGCCCGCTCAGCCCCTGCGACCCGGGCGCGTTCCTCGCAGCGCCGTGACGGCCCCGTGCTGCCAGGGCGGGGGAAACATCTCAGAATCTCGATGGGAACACCGTGTAGAAGCAGGACAGCAAAAACTCACTCTGCTTTTACAGGTGTTCAGCGGCTTGTTTTGTTCTGTAGAGATTACTGGCAGTCACCGTAAAACACCGCTTATGCTGCAATCTGTGGTCAAGAAAGAAATCAGGCGAGTTTATTCTCAAGCACTAGCTAGCTGAGGAACCAGCCCCTTCTAAACATCTTCCACCTGCCATTTTGCTAAGGACTGAAGTAATGCTGACTCACCAAATGCCACCAGCCACCCAATAAATAGGAATGGTTCCAAAGGAATTTTCATTTTTGCACTTTCTGCCACGTTTCTTTTCTGATGTGGTTCTATTCTCTACATAGGAGATACTAAACAGAAAGTCAGATGCTGACAGTCAAAATCGGTTATGTAGCTTGTACCAGTGGAGAAACCAGTTTGAGTCTAAAATATAACAGTTGTGTCCACTGGTCCCAGCAAGTGAAGCTGGTTGACTTCAGGGCAGCTCCCCAGGGTGGGTGATGACAGCCCGTTGGGTACCTTTGGAGGAGGCCCTCAGGGACTGGTGGACTTTGGAGACCAACCTCCCTCCCTTCCCTTCCAAACTGGGGCGGTCAGTTGGCAGGACGGGGCTGGGGACTGGGCTGTGGCCAGTTTCCCCAGCAATGGGAGCGCAGGCTCAGCAAGAAAACCTGGGGTCTCGCTCCATGTTTGCGGGTGGACGGCAGGCTCGCCTACGGGCTGGGAGGTCCACACAAGTATGCTGCACAAACATGGCTCTTCAGCTCTTCCAGGAGAAACTTCATGTTAAGACGTGGAAGCACTCTGGGATGGTGGAGCCTGACTTGCCCTGCCAGGGTGTGTGTGGGGACAAGAGGGCTCTTGGCCCCGATCTGTGGAGGGCTTGTTGTAGCGTCTAGGCTTTCCCTCCAGAATGTCTCACATCACTGTATTTCCTAAGAAAACTGTGTGTTGCCATGTTTTAACGTTGTTAACCGACACTTCTTTAGAGTAAAGTCTAAATTGGTTTCAGTAAGAATTCGTTTTTTACCGGAGTGCCTCGCGGCTCGGCCGTCAGCCTGGCAGCGCGGCCGTCCCTGTCCCGGCGAACCCGCTGGGCGGCAGCGGCGGGTGCTGGGCTGCTGCTGGGCACCCGCTTTGCCCAGGGTGGAGCCTCCACTCTAAGTGTTGGGAACAGACCTGCAGTTTTTAAAACCAAAAAGACAGGAGACGGGAAAACTTGGCACTAGATTACAGAGATCGTTTGCAAACCTTTACACACTCCCCCGCTCGATAACGCTGAGCATCGGGTAACGCGCCCCAGCCGTTGCCTCGGCCGCTGTCAGTTGCATTCCTGCTGCTCTTGGTGTGGCCGGGGGCTGCCAGCAGCGTTTATCGGGTTCCTGTGTGTGAGGGGATAGCTGGGATTCCTGGGCACGTGGGCCAGTGGGCCCGGACAGCCGGCGCGGGCAGCTGCTGGCCCCACAGGTTGCGGTGGGAGCCGGCCCCGACAGTGCAGAGCCGGGTTTGGATCAGCAGCGAGAAATACAAGTGGGAGCATGTGGCCAGCTTCAACGTGACGGCTGTGAAAATTCACCAAAGTGCATTTTTCTCTGCCTCAGGAAGAGTAACCAGTTTATTTATTTGTGTCCATTCAGTGCGAGCTCGGCCTTCGTGATTGCAAAGGATTTAGCCTCAAAAGACGGGGAAAGGAAAATGAGTTCCATCCTTCCTATGCAAAATAATACTGCCTATGCTTCTGCAGCCTGGCCTTTCCACTCTACAGCTGCAAAATTAGTGAGAGACTGTTTAAGTTCGGAAACCAAGATGCTTTGATAGCTACAAAAATGTTGACGTGTGACCTGAGAATGTATTTGCGTCTAAAAAGAAACTGCAAAGCTGAGGAAAGAGCAACACAAATCTTTCTTCTCTCCAAGATATCAGTGGGCAGGAGAGAGGCCAGAGACACACCAAGCCAGGAACAGAGACCTCACGTGGCTTGAGGTGCTGCAGAACACCCCAGCGTCTCCCGTGCTGGTGCCCCCAGCACCTGCTCCCCTTACAGAGAGCTCAGTCCTCCCTCTGCCCCTCCTCAGGGACTGCTCCGCAGGAGGATGCGCTTAGGGGAGGAAAACCTTTCTGCAGAACGAGCACCCGAGGCTCAGACGTCTTCTCTGATTCACCTGCAAGAAATGTGTTTAACAGACCATCTCCTGTGGGCTTTACCTGGGGGCCTTCATTTTGTTTATACCAGTGAAGAAGCACAAGCAGAGATCTGAATGGAGCTGGCACAGTGGAGGCGGCATCGGAGATTTAATTTTATGTTACAAGTAAATAACAGTGTAAACCTGATAACACTACTGTGTTGGGGTTTTTACTGTCTGGAAAACTTGGAATTCATACCGCTGCAAATGGCATTTCCATAATGTGACTGTCTGGAGGATTTCTAAAAACAAGATGTCTTGTTAAAAAAACAAACAAGCCACAAGCCCAAATACAACATTGTGAAGGTGAGTAATTCAGAGAGACATCTTCTCATTCAAATTCTTCTTTTTACACTGGAAAGCAATGCAATTAAACAATGCCGTTTGCACGTGTATGCCAACGCACGCCAAGAGAACTGCTACAACTCATCACTGGAGCAAATACGCCCAACAGAGTCCGTTCTTGCTACTCACCTGTTTAGCAGGACAGCAGCCTGGCGCGGGTCCCTTGGCCTCTGCACGGAGGGACGCTCGGTGTACACCGAGATCGGCCCCCACCCGCCCCTGCGACCGCGGTGGGAGGGCAGAGACGTGTCCCCGCCAGGTTCCTCTAAGGGACCGTTTGCTCCCCGACGGAAAGCTGACTGCAGTCCTGTGCTCATCCTTACGCAGGCAGCGCTTCCTTCAGTTACAATCTGCAGTCTGGCACTGCTGAGCTGCCTTAAAAAATATTATTTTCCTGAGGTGAGTGTCAAAAGCTTATGTTTCTGTAAAAGTCTGGCAAACTTCGCCATCACTACATGCAACCTTCTGCTGGATGCTCTTGCTTTAATATGAGCTCTGCTAAAATCTCCGCATGGTTGTAATACAGCAAGATTTGATTCACCGATGTCTTGGGGGCTGATAACGGCTGAATAAAATGTCTGGTTTAGGACCCTCTCCATCCTGTGGGTTTTATGTAACTTTTAAATTTTCAAAGTGAGATATTCCCTCTTACAAGAGGATTAACAAGAAAGCATAGACTGCTGCTCCTGACAGTCTCAAAACCATGTCCAAAACTTATGTCTGCGTGTGTTTTGACATCTTTCAGCATGAAAAACACTTTGTAAAAAGTAGAGCTGTGATTACCCAGACGAGGAGTCAGCCGTGGACGTGTGCCGACTGTCGATGCCGTTTCATTCCTGTGCCTTTCAGCGCAGCTCCACGCAGGAACTAGTTGGTCTCAGCAGCATTCCTCTTTGTCTGGGTGCCCCTGTCCAGACAGGAGCGTGGGCACATCTAACTTTAACTTAATTCTTACCCTCCAGTCAGCACGTCCCTGAGCAGAAGCACAGCCCAAATTCTTGGGCATTTCTCCCAAGTGCTCCTGACAGGGTCCTCAGCCAGCTCCTGGGTCCCCTTCCCTCGCTGGGGACCTTGCTCTCTCCCTCACCAAGTGAACAGGGTAGGAAAAGTCCACCGCTGAGGCTGCTTCGTCTCTGTCACGCTTCTTTGAAACCGGTTAATGAGGTCATGTTTGTTTGAAAGGAGCTGCTGGGGAACAACGTGTGCAGAGGGATCGTGCGGGACCTGGTCTCTCGGGGATGCCAGAGCGGTCTCGGGCAGGCAGCCTGGTTACTGAAGTTCCTACATCAATTTCCAGCTCCAGACCTACTGGGAAAAAGCAATATGCCAAACACAGAGAGCCTACATCTACAATAAAATAACGCTTTAGTGTTTAAAGTGTTAAAATTAGGTGACTACACCAAAAGAAAAGAGTATCTTATTGTCAGATCTGAAGAGACTTTTTTCTACCCTTTTGAAGAATCTTTACAAGCAGAATAATGAACTTGCAGCTGGCAATTGTTTACCCAGCTCAGGCAGCTCCGGAAGGGTCCCAGGAGTCCCTCCCCGAGAGGGGTCTGACAGGCATAAACGCGCGATGTCACTGAATACAGCGACGTGACACTCGCCACCAGGGACCACAGGGGCCGAGCACAAGTCGCCCAGTCCCGTGTCCTGCAGCTGGGGCTGGGCAGAGAACAGGGAGCCGGGTGCCAGCGCTGCCCCACCGGGGCCCAGCTGGTGTGGCCGGAGAGAAGCAAATGTTCTGTGCTGGAGGTATCAGCGGCCATCCGGGGAACCGGCCTGCCTGCCTGCCTTCTGGCTCAGTATTTCGTAGCACCTGACAGAGGTTTAATTGCTTATGATGGTGTGAAACGTGCTCTGACACCTGATAAAGACCTCTGGAAAAGCAGCTCCATAAAAATGATTTTTTTTCCTCATCTGGAAATAAAAGATACGCTCTGAGGAGCACAGCTCAGAGAAGCTGTGTAACATAGGTAAAGCAAGTTTGACATTACATAACTTCTTTTAATATGGAACTGGGTTTTATGTGCAAATGGTCTGTGCTGCACTACGTAATGCTGCAGGAACAACCTTATTCCTTTCCTATTTAATCCTTGGAAAAAAAAGTCAGAGGTCTAAAAATGACATTGCTTCACAGGGAGGCTTCTTCCTCCTCTAGCAAAAGCCAAAAGCATCAAACGCTGTTTCTTTTCTTTCCTCCATAACCTGACTCAAAGCTCCTTAAATCCAATTTAATTTAAATCCAGGTCTGCGGGAGCACTGTGGCTCTCTCCCAGTCGAGACCAAACACCTTTCTTTTGAAAAACAGGGAGATGTGGGGAGAGGTACAGGTCAGC